ATTGGCAATGTTCTTGGCCCTAAATTGCTTCCTAAATGAGTTGAAAACATGATGAACTTAGATGTAAGGGTTAATTTTCCCCAATTAGTCTTTCTCTTCTTCTCAAAACACATCAACTTAGAATCTTGGATGTTTTCTTGATTTTCTCTTTCTTGTGTAAAGAAAATTGTAGACAAAAGGCTCAAGAAAATTCAAGATACAGAGGTTTAACAGAATAACCATTCAACGTGGAAAATTTTTTGAAACAGTGCAGCAAATGGAATATAGGCAGAGATTAAAAAAAAGACTTTGGGAGGCATTTGACTCAGCTTCATTGAAGACCGACCTCCATTGGAAACCAGGCATTCATTAAAGAAAATATATTATAAGTATGGTATGAACATTTCATATGTTTCTTAAACTGATGAAGCAACATCATATGCCTCAGTGTGGAATGTTGAACTCACTCAATATCTCATGCCTGCATGCCAGAGGGAGAGAAAGACAGAGAGAATTTATTTGAGACAATGCAGTAAAAAAATGGTATGAACATCTCATATATGTTTCATACACTGATGAAGCAACATCATGTACCTGCGTGTAGAATTTTGAACTCACTCAATATCTCATGCCTGCATGCCAGAGGGAGAGAAAGACAGAGAGAGAGCATTTATTTGAGAAAATTCAGTGAAAATATGGTATGAACATCTCATACATGTTTCATATTCCTGCTCATGGCAGCTTTTGCTACAGGACACAACCCGGAATGAGGGTACTGTGTCCCTGGTATTGGGATATCAAAACCAAAAGACAGACAGACATGCGGACAGACACAACGAGAGAGAGAGAGAGAGAGACAGACAGACAGAGACACACACACACACACACATACATGAAGCACTTCTTGAGGCTTCCATGGCAACGAACGCTACTGTCGGCCACCGCGAAGAGGCAATGATGATGGCGTCCACTTCCGGTTTTGTTTTACCGGAAAAATACCTTCTTTTCCTGTTTTTTTGTTTTTGGGAAGATGATGATGTAAATGTTTGGCAGATTTTTTTTCTGTCTGTACCCCGATTGTGATGTCACGAGGCTTCCTGAATACATGAATTTTATTGAGGAAGCAAATCGAAAGAATCTTGTACAATTTTCACTTGAGATGCATGGATTTCAAAAATATTAAATGGATGATTCTGATGATGGACTAAAAAAACAGTATTAAATCAGCAGAATTATTGGTGATGATATATTTACTCATCATCTGCTCGAACGCAGTCGGTTGAAAAATTCCCATTACGGTATTTTATCTCGTAAATGCACAAAAATTTGCACGTGTAAGGGATATTTTTTATTTATTTTTATTCTCGGTATTCGAAATTTGTCTCAATTATTGAAATTATAGAGAAAACGATCGTTCATTTCTCTCTGACACACGAAAAAGAAAAACTCAAATTGTGTTCACTTTCGAATTTTAGACGCCAGCAAATTCGAGTCCGAATATTTTGCCAATTTTTGAAATTCTACTACAGCAATAACTAAGGTACAATATCATACTGTATGTTCCTGTTTTCTGTACATTTTCAATCCAAAATAAAATAATAGTCCCGGATGATATTATGTCATCATTCGACATTTTGGAGTATTTCGTCAAAACCTCCTTGTCATCAAACCAAATAATTAAGATGAATTTGCTGGATAAAACGTCATTATTTCGGAATGAATTGATGATTGGAAAATTGTTCACGATTTTATTCTGACCTGAGGGAAGGGAGAAATTACATGTTTTTTTCAAAGTACAGTAAATGATGAAAACAAGAGCTTTTGATCATAATTGCGAGACTTGCTTTCCCGTAATTGCACATCAGTTAGTTTTTTTTTTTTGACGTGATTTCGGTGACACAATATCATTAACAATAGATGCTCGACGAAAGATAATTTTTCGTTTCCTGTGAAATTATCTTGGTTCGTGGAAGGCAAAAAAAATATTTTTTTTTTCTTTCGTGTGCTCGTTGTATGAAGTTAAGTTTCGTCTTTTGTGTTCGGAATAAATTCGGGGTTGAAAAAGGAATGGATTTCGATTTATTCGACTTTATTTGAATGACATTTTTCGTAAATTATCCCGTCAGCTTTTTTCACAATAAAANTATTTGAATGACATTTTTCGTAAATTATCCCGTCAGCTTTTTTCACAATAAAACTGTTACTTATTGAAACTCTGAGTGAAAAAAATAGGAAAATTAATCATAATTTCTGATGGCTTGAAAAAGACCTCTGATGACTTTTTCAGGTCATCGCGGTCAAGTGGAGAATTATCACGCAGTTCATTTTTTATAACCTATTTTATTTCTGAGTTGAATAAAGATGTTGAGTTTTTAAGACTATATATAGACGAGAATTTTGAGGTCTTTTTTATCTTTGAAGCTATATATTTTGGTTTAATTTGCGTGCTGATAAGTGATAACTTATCATAAGGAAAATTTTGGCGTGAATTTTAGCAGTTATAATGGTGTCAAATGAAAAAATGATTGTAAATGATCGGATTTTAGAACTTATTTTTGGTCAGAAATTCCTGGTTTCCGCAGATTTAAACGTGCGAAAAATTGCAAAAATATCAAAGGGAATAAATGAATGAATGCATTTTTGCTGGAAAAAAGCATGAGATTCTCTTTCATTCTCTGTCTTTCTCCGAATTTTTTTTTTGGCTCAAATATTATTGCTGCGAAGTTTTTTTTCTTCCATCAGAAGCACTTTTTTGCGCGGATTTTCCACCTTTTTCTCCGAATCCCACAAAATGTTCCGCACATACGCGAATTTTTTTTTGGCATTTTGCAGTGCACCTTTCGAAAATGTTCCAATAAGCAACAACGAACAAAAAAAAACAATTGAATTGACAAAAAGCATGTTTCCTGGGAACGGACAAATGTTAGCCGATACACACACACGAAAATGTGGGCCTCATGCATGAGTTGAAAGGGAAAATATCACAGGGAATCTTCTCAAAAAGACAACACTGCCATTTTTTTTTTGCTCTATAGCAGCTTTGCTTGCTGACATTTGTCATTCACTCTTGAATAATTTTTTTCTTTTTGGCTCAAGATGCACTTGAAAATTGCTTGATGTTGAGAGCAGGGTAAATATTTCCCTGCTGAAATGATCAATTTCAAGAAACTTTTCAATAAATTTTGAGGACTTTAATTTTTTATGTTGGCTGGAGTTTTGAAGTTCTTCAACTACAGTATTTGAATTGAATTTGAGCTTCATAAAATCATGTCTGGGTAATATATCTGGTTTTTTATTCCTCCTGAAGATGTTACCTTCAGAAAGTAAAACTAAAAATCTTGAAATATATCTTATGGCAAATGAGGCATGCCTCTCTTGGGGTCAAATTTAAATTTGGCATGCTTCCTTAATGAATTATATTCTTGCTGAATTGTATTTTTCAGCACAACAACTTATTTCTTGCTAGTACAATAATGCATTATCTAGGTTTTGCTGGTTATGCAGGAATTTTAGAAACCCATCTGCTTCTTTTCAGAGTGTAATCTTGTTAATGTTTGCAGATTTTCTCACAAGTTTGGTCTTGTAAACCCTGGCACATTTTGTCTACCTTCCGCCAAACTGAAATTTGCCTTTATGTGCAAAAAGAAATCCTGACTTCATCCAAGGGTCAAGTCTCATCATGATGACCATTTTCTTATAAGTAAGGCTTTTCTTGGCCCCAAAGGCTTTTTGTGTGAAACTTTCAACAAGCAGGGCTAATTATGTTGATCAAACAAGAACATGGGTCCATGAACAAAAACAGTGAAGGTTTCCACTGGTTTCAAGAGGAAGCCACTGAAGGGGTTTCTCTTGCATGAAGTAGATCAGCGTTATTCTCTCATTACACACACAAATTTATTTTTGGTGAATTATTATTCTTATTATCCCATTATCTTCTTGATCCAATTTGTGCACAAATCTGGTATTGTGATTTCTTGAGTTTAATTCCTGACTTTTGTGATTTAAAAAATGGATAAAATAAAAGTTCAAAACTATAGGAACACATATTGAAGGTCCTCTTGAATATGTGTTGCTGGCCTAAAAGGCTGATTGTCCAGACTTATAATTTCATATCATTTTTCCACTGTGCTATGATTCAATGTTTTATTTTGAGTTGATTAATGTCCTCAACAGCCACTATAACTGGAAGTGTAGATTGTCATACTGCACTTGAATGCAAAAAGAAGCTGACCAAATTTTTTTGTTTTCAAGCATTTCCATGGGGGGTCTAAATTCAGAGCTTTTCAAAGCACCTAGAGTTGGTCAGCAGTTCCCTGGTCAGTCTCCAACACTGCTTGGCAGCATTTTCCATGGAGGAAGGCGACTTTCCTTTGAACAAGTCCAGAGACGGCAGGAAGTAATGCGGACACCGGCGACACTGCAAACAAGAGATCAGCTGGAGCAGGATCCCGTTGATCCGATCCCCGATCGTCGACTCGTCCCACTCCAATTCCCTCGGGTGCTTCTCGCATTCGTACAACAACAGGGTTTTCAACACGTAACTCGTCACGGGGTTGCCAGGCAAGTCCAGGTGTCGATCCCGCAGCGTCTTGAGGATACTGAGACAACGGCGCCGATAGCCGCCGTGAAGCAGGCGCAGTTCCGCCTCGGCGAAGCTGATGACCCAGGCGTCGCCTTCCATGGTGGACGAGGTGGTGTTGGACTGGCCGGCGCCGCCGGCGGCGGCGGCGGCGGCCATTTGTTGGCTCACGGCGGCGGCGACGGAGTTTCCGCCGGTGCCGGCGCCGGAGAGCAGGAGGTGGGAGGACGGGGAGCCCAGGGCGGCGAGGGCGGACGAGGAGCCGCTGTTGGCGGCGTTGTTGTTATTTTTGGCGGCTTGCAAAACTGGGCTCTCTTTGCTCAGCAAGTCGAAACCTGAATTCATTCAGAGCAAAAGAAAACAAAACATTCAAGATTAATATAAATTTGAGCACTCAATTAAAGAAAAAAATGGATTAACGTTCAGGTATTCAATCATGCGTCACAAGGTTCAGAAAGTTAGTTTTCAAGGTTAAATCCTTCTGAGGAGGAGCTGGGATATGTCTGCCAAATTTTGTGCAAAAGACAAGAACAAAAGAAATACAGTGAAACCCCCATGTGTGGACGCTTTGACCTGCAGGCAATTCGACATAGGGACACTTAGTTTCTCATAAAATAATTAATAAAAAGGGCCCAACATGAGGAGACTGACTCAACATAAGGACATTTTGTTATAAAATTGCAAATACATTTTACGTCAAATTACAAGAAACAGATATTTGCAACCCTAAAATTGATGTAAGAAAAGTTCTTGGGCATTGCTCCCACCAATTTTACCATCCATTTAGCTAATTAAAAAACATTACCTCCAGCAGAGAGGTAATTTCCTTCTCTCTCTCTCACATGAATATTATTTTTACAGCCAACATTTCTATGTACTGTACAGAGGTATCAGTATTCAATTCCCCAAATGCCCATATTGTGTTGAAATATATTGATTGGTATCAGTTTATATTGGGAGACCATTTTTATTTCCATGGAATTATGGTGAGTATTTTGAAAATGAAACACCAATTAAAAATTATTTAATGTAAGTCTAAGGGAAAATGAAACTTGACTTAGGGGACACTCTTGATGCACCAATTACATCCGCATCTCAGGGTCTCACTGTACTGTAGTAATAATAAGATAAAATTTGACCCCTCAACTCCAAAATAATTAATTAAGGCCAATCATTCAAACAGATTACACAAGACTCAGAAAAACATTGTCAAGTGTTGCAGAAATAAATTCATTCATGTATTCAGGAACAAGACTTTTGAAGTCATGGTTTGCACCAAAAGCTTGTGCATCGGTGAGATAAGAATGTGGCATGAAGGTTTTCAGATTTCCATCACCAAAGATAAAGTTAGGCTCAGAAAAGTGATGCCATTGTGCGTAAGGCAAGAACAAAGAAAATGCAACAAAGTGCACAAAATTTGACCTTTTATTTTCAAAGAATTTAATTGATTTTCAGGTGCACAATCAGATGTCACACAGTTCAGCAAATTACTGCTGAAGTTTTCTCATTTCTGAGGTAGAGCTGGAGTATGTCTGCCAAATTTTATTTGTAACATTACAGACATTCCGATAATTTGGCTGATCAGATACAGTAAAAGAAAAGACCACAACATTTTGCATGCAGTGGGTCTTCTCACAACGCTGATAAATTCCAGGGTTTCTTTCTTTTGTTATGCATGTGTTATCTTCATTGGAAATCTTCCTTAATGATGTTTCAGAATTAACATGCTTTTTTTCAAGCAAGCTGAAGAAACTTTCACTGTAGGACTTCACAAAAGCCATCTCAGAGGCAACCAGAAATATGATTGTTTGCTTTTTTAGCAAGTAAAGGTACATTTCCGGTTGAAATTGTGTTTGAATCATTTCAGGAAGGTATAGTAGTAATCTTTTGGGCTTCAAACTGCTTTACAAATGATTTGACTGGTTAATTAAATCCAAAGCTGGGGTGCTTTTATTTTTTAGCCTTATTTCTCAAAGTCTAGATAACCTTTAAAACTACCAAGTTTCTGTGTGTCCTACTCTCATTTGATGTGGAAGCAATTTGGGAAAAAGACTTGGTTGTTTTCCTTCTTGACAGATGTAGTCTTTATTGTACTTGAAGTACACAACATCAATTAACAAAAGACGGGACAATCACAGAGATTTCCAAAACAAGAGTCTCAAAAGGAAGTCACTGCATCAATGCCTGTTTGGGAAGATTCTGCCAGGAGTTTATATGCTCAAAATTGCAGTACTGTTAAAAGGGATTATAGTATTTGTGTTCCTTGTTATTCAGGAACTTAATTCCAGGACAAATCTGGTTATGAAGGATGGGGAAAGAGAGGGATGCTTCTAAGAAATTTCAGGCCTGGAGAGCACCTGGGAATAATGTACATATCAATTACAATTAATCTCTTGATTCCTGGAATTTGCCTCTGGTTCTTGGAAGGATTGATATATTGAATAAGTTCATCCTAATCAATTCTTATCCTTTCTTTCTTCATGTCATCCCATGGGCAGAGCCTGAAAGAGTTTGATGTTGAGTTCAAAATTGCTTGAGCAGAAAATCATGATAATTTTTTATAACAAGGCATTCCCTTCTTCTTTGAAAAACAAGCATACACTGAAACCTCTTTGCATTGAATTTAAAGAGACCAGGAAAAATTGCAAGGAAAAAATTGAAGGTTTCGAGTTATTAAAAAAAGTTTTCTGTCCTGTGAGATATAAAAAAAGTTACAGAAAATTATAATTGGTGAGATTTTGAACCTTAAATTGCTCATTGAACAAGTTGACAGGATATGCTGAACTTGGAGACACAGCCAAATTAGTCCTTCTCTTCCTTTCAAAACACAACACATAACATTTTTCTTGTATCTCTCTTTCCTGTGTCAATAAAATAATATCCAAAAGATCCCCAAAAGTTGAGCTTTGGAGGTTTGACAGGGATTTGAGTTATGGGCAAAGTTTTTAATGCACTGTTTCTAAGGGAGACAGGGACTTGAACATTTTTGACATTGGCAGGTATTTGACTTTGGAAAGTTAAAGTTCTGAAGAATCAACTGTAGCTACACATGTAGCTCTTCAATTACTTTGATCACCACAATAATAGACTGAAGTTTCAAGAAGTTTGAGTTGCAGGGGGAACTTGCTTTGAGCTATGAAGATCTATGAATGGTACAAAACTCTGGGGATAAACCATTTTCACATAGTAGAGTTTTTTTATTTACCAAGGTCCATGTGCACTAAAACCACACAAGAATATTTCTATATTCTTTTGTAATTTTATATGTGTATATGAAATTAACACCTTGTTGCATTTTTTGAAAATAATTCCCTTTGAATAATTTTTCTCCTTGCATGAATACTATCAGATGTTTCCTCATTTCCAGTGGATGTGAATCACACATTGCTGGTCAATTTTGATACTTACTTTGTGAAAGAGAATAGATACTGCTAAATAAAGTGTGTGCTGAAAATTGAGGGCCAATAAAGCGAGAAATCATCCTGGAATTCTTGATATTTTGATAATGCATTAGAAAATTACAAAAGCACTTTTTTTGCGGCCAGTGGAATAAAATAAGTGTTCCAACCAAACCAATAATAGTCATCAAAAATTGTTTGCAAGTGTTATCAGCTTTTTTGGGTTTGAAAACCTGTAAATTTAATATGCCAAACCTTGTATTCATATTCGTACTATACCCTACATTTGTTTGGGTCTGGCCTCAATTATTCCAGGGTTCCCAAGGCCTTTCTTTTATTAGATTGTACTAGAATTTTGGAACACATCCAAAAAAGTCAATAAGCAGTCTAAAAACTACAGTACTGTTATTATGTTTTTTGGAAGGGATTTGGCATTGCCCAGCATTCAAGATTTCTATGAATAATAACCAGTTCCAAAATAGTTTAACCTTGACAACTCAAACCTCCTAAGGTCACATGCCTTACATGTTTAATTTCTTTCGAATCCCTGTCTGAATTCCATCAGAGACAAAAACCTCACCAACTCTAAGACATTTGCCTTGAATATCCATTAATTGAATTTTCTGGTGGCCTCTTGGCTAATATTTTATTGGCACAGGAATAAAGAAGCAATGCAAATGTGCTTTCCTGCATTTTAAAAGGGACTGAATAATTAATAGGGCTAATGAACGCTTGTCTCAAATTTTAGCATCATCCTGTTTCAAAACACATCTTGGAAACAAGTTATGGCCTAGAATATCACCAATTAAAATTCCTTCTAACTCATCTTTCTTAAAAAAATTGCGTATTTCCCTAACTCAAAATGTTTTACTGGTCTCTCAAAGTTAACTTGAAGAGGTTTGACTGTTCTGCATTTAGAGCATATTTTGGCGTTTTTCAAATGCAGTACAGTATTTTTAAGTAACAAGTTTTTCTGTTATACAATACCATAGTACAATTTTGTAGTATTCTTAGTACAGTCAACCCCTGTCTAACGGACTTGATTTGTGCAAGGGACAAGTCTGTTAGACGAAAAGTCATTTACACGAATTCAATTACATAAAAATTGAAAATTTTAATTTTCAACACTAATTTTAAACCAAAAGAAGTCTGTTTGGTGGATTTTGTCTGTTGGGTGGGAGGAAAAACTGCTTGCAGAGCTGGTCTGTTTGGCGAAAATCCCTTACACGGGAGGTCTGTTAGGCTGTTAGGCCACTGTATTCTGAATGCTATCTATTTGGACCACTGCAGCCTAAATGAAATGAAGAAATGACAGACGCATATCATTTCTCATCTGTAATCCACTTATTCTACAGTTGAACCTCTCTAAGTGCAATAATGTCAAGGTACCAGCAAAAAAAATCACATTATAGGAAGGTTTGACTTAAGGAAGGTTTCAAATTATAGAGGTTCAAGCTAAACAAACCCACAATACAAAACCCTTATATTCTGGGAAACATGAACTGTAAATGGTGATATTCTGGGGCTCAAGTTGCTTCTCAAGTGAGTTGAAAGGATCCTGAACTTGAAGGCAGGGGTTCATTTTCCCTATTAAGCATTTCACTCCTTTATAAAACACACAATTTCTGTTCTTATTCCTCATTTCTTTTTTGTTTCAACAAAATAATAGCTGAATGACAACAGAAAATTTGACTTACATATATGGTTGAGGGGGAAATGCCTTCAACTCTGGGAGGTTTTTAATATATTGTTCCTAAGGGGATTCAGATGGGGACCTGAACAAAATTTGACATAGCAATGCATTTGACCTGATGAGGGTTGAATTACCAAGGTTAAACTGCTTTGAAATTGTTTATTTCTCATATGAATCCTGAATGCTGGGCATTGCCAAATCCATTGCAAAGAACATAAGAACAGCAGTAGTGTAGTTGTCAACTGCTTATTGCTTTTTTTTTGGATGTGTTCCAAAATTCAACTCCAGTCTAATAAAAGAAAGACCTTGGGAACCCTGGAATAATTGAGGACAGGCCGGAAAAATTTTAGGGTTAATACAAATACGCATTTCAAGGTTTTGCATATTAAAGTTACACTTTTTCAAACCACATTAAAAGCAGATAAATATCTTGTAAACAATTTCTGATGAATATTACTGGAATATTCGAAACACGTTTCCTATTTTTATTGGCTGCAAAGAAAGTGCTTTTTTATTTCCTGATGCATTTTCAAAATATCAGGAATTCCAGGATGATTTCCTGCTTCATCCGCCCACAATTTTCAAGACACACTCTATTTACCGTATTTGACTTAATGAGGTTTGATTTATTGAGGTTCACCTGAGATAGCCTCATTTGGACTTCAATTTTTAGCCATTGAAATTTTGGGTACACATATGATTTCCACAGAGATCTGTGGTTTCTTCAATTTGCAAGTTTAAAAAAATTAAGGTAATGGGCTTGAACTGGCCAATCAATAATTTAGGTCCATTATATAGCCACCAAACACCATTAAAACCAACAGGTCACATTTGTTGGCTACTTGAAAACTCCTTTATATACGGCCAATTTTTTTTTTTATTTTTTGACCCACAGTCTTTATTTGAAATCGATTTTAAATGTCGGTTGAGAGACTGACCTTCAGTCTTGACCTCGGCCACCAGATGTGGCGAGGGCCACGCGATATGCGGCTGCGGCCACGCGGCCGAGGACCTGGGCCACACCCCGCCACACTTGAACGCCGGCGTGATCTGCACCACGTATCGCTCCCTCAATCTCAGCCGCACTTCCGTCGTGTCCGCCACCATCTTCACCATGTCCCTATACGCACACTTGTCACACGCTTGGGCCACTAGGGTTTGGAACCGGGACCGGATCTTCCTCGCACTCAAATAGCCCGAGGCAGTGATGAACTCGACCCAGAGGCTCATGGACCGCTTCCGGCCATCGCTGAGCTTGAGCACGGCACATCCGGGCAAAGTGCCGTCGTCGACAAAGTTGAACACGCCCATTTGGTTGAGGTAGAGCACGACTTCGAATTCCGTGGGCGACACGACGTAGAGGCCCTCGAAGTGGCCGTTGACTTCCGTGAGACTGGAGATGAAGCGGGGCTCTTGGGCCTCGACTTCTTTGAGCACGTCTTGCACGACTTTGGCCACTTCGCGAACGGTTTTGGCGATGGTGGCCTGGCGAGAGGCGACCTTTTCGCCCACGTACTTGTTGACCTGGTAGAGCATCCGGGAATGGGCGCCCATCATGTCGGGCGGCACTAACATGATGGCTGTATTTGTGGGCTTTCTTTTTTTTTTGGGTTTTTATTGCCCTCCTATATAAAAAAAATTGTTGCATTCATTTTTCAAGCATCTTTTCTAACCCAGGAACAAGGTTGGAAAGAAACATTGTTCAGGTGGATTTTGGATAATTTTCATCCATGATTCCACCTCATGCCCCAAGAACCGGTCACAGTCCCATTTTGAATGGGAAATTTGATACTGTGCCTGCATTCCTTGGGGATTTTTCCTTGAGAAATCACATGTTTGGTAAAAAGTTTGTCATACTGTAATTGAATTGGTGAGTTTGTCGCAACAAGATTTTTATAACATGAACCCTATAGGGATTTCTGCTGCAATGGGACTTTGAAAAATGTTTGTTACACTGAAAGATTTTTTGCAACAATATTTCTTGTAATGTGATTTTACTGTACATGTTCTTGGAAAAAGCAGAAGTACAGACCCATCACAAAACAACAGAAAGCTCACAGCTCTGCTATTATTTGTTATTCAGCAATACAGTACATAGCATGTTGCTACAGAAATACAGTCAAACCCCATTAAACCGCCCCCCAATAAAGTGCCACCCTCACCTCCTGCCATATTTTTACCCCAAGCAAATCTCCCCAATGTTAAAAGGATGGGGAAACCTTGATAGAACACCATCTGCCAACAATTTTCTGGCCTCAAATAGGCACTTGTCCTTGTTTTTTTTACCCCATTTAAACTGCCAATTTGGAGAGAGATTCACTTTTAAAATATGAACAGAATGCAATTGCTGAAAAATCAGGTACAAATGGATGCAATATTTGCTCCAAAATTAAGCAAGAACCCTAATAAAAATGCACAAGTCATATATTAATGTAAAGGTATTCTTCTTATATCCATCATCCTTTTTCTTAATTTGTTTTGTCCTGTAGTCATTTTGTAGTGAACCACTACCCTCAATAGACTGCCACCCTTGTTAAACCGCCAAAATCTTGCTGCACTGATGTTGGCGGTTTAATGGGGTTCAACTGTATGTAAATTCATGCGATTATGTTTCAAAATGGAACTGCGATTTTCTAAAACTGAGGAATCTGTTTTTAAAATGAACGCGGACATTTTACAGCGCTTCATATTGGCGTTCAAGTGGTGCGATATCCAGAACATGTCACTACTATATCTCAAATAAGTTAATTGCTATCGATTCATGTGATCGCAACTGATAATTTATCTTGGATGACAAAATTATAGGTTAGATTAGGGGGTACGGCATTTAAAATTGCAAAAACTATCTCTTTAATCGAAGGCCATGAAAAGATTTTCTGGACTGCCTGAAGTCAAATGTTTTAATACAAAGTATAACTGATCAAAAATTGATTCACGCCACAGTTTCCTTGAAGTATTTGACAAAAAGAAGAAAACGGAAACGCATCTCTATCAAAAATTGTATTTCATCGTACAAAGAGATTCACTCGAAGATGTTCCAATTTCCATGATTGATTCGTTTTTTGCATTAAATTTTCCGGACAATAATCTGAGTACATTCATGCATCACGCCGTTTCGAATAAGCTTGAGCCGAAGTCTTTTTCGAACATCTGCTCGTTTCAATCACCACCAGAAGAGTGGGCGGAATTCGCAGAGAACAGCGTAGAATTTCACATCATCATCATCACACGCAACCTTTTCGAATCAATCCGTCNTCAAACCCCATTAAACCGCCCCCCAATAAAGTGCCACCCTCACCTCCTGCCATATTTTTACCCCAAGCAAATCTCCCCAATGTTAAAAGGATGGGGAAACCTTGATAGAACACCATCTGCCAACAATTTTCTGGCCTCAAATAGGCACTTGTCCTTGTTTTTTTTACCCCATTTAAACTGCCAATTTGGAGAGAGATTCAATTTTAATATATGAACAGAATGCAATTGCTGAAAAATCAGGTACAAATGGATGCAATATTTGCTCCAAAATTAAGCAAGAACACTAATGAAAATGCACAAGTCATACATTAATGTAAAGGTATTCTTCTTATATCCATCATCCTTTTTCTTAATTTGTTTTGTCCTGTAGTCATTTTGTAGTGAACCACTACCCTCAATAGACTGCCACCCTTGTTAAACCGCCAAAATCTTGCTGCACAGATGTTGGCGGTTTAATGGGGTTTGACTGTATGTAAATTCATGCGATTATGTTTCAAAATGGAACTGCGATTTTCTAAAACTGAGGAATCTGTTTTTAAAATGAACGCGGACATTTTACAGCGCTTCATATTGGCGTTCAAGTGGTGCGATATCCAGAACATGTCACTACTATATCTCAAATAAGTTAATTGCTATCGATTCATGTGATCGCAACTGATAATTTATCTTGGATGACAAAATTATAGGTTAGATTAGGGGGTACGGCATTTAAAATTGCAAAAACTATCTCTTTAATCGAAGGCCATGAAAAGATTTTCTGGACTGCCTGAAGTCAAATGTTTTAATACAAAGTATAACTGATCAAAAATTGATTCACGCCACAGTTTCCTTGAAGTATTTGACAAAAAGAAGAAAACGGAAACGCATCTCTATCAAAAATTGTATTTCATCGTACAAAGAGATTCACTCGAAGATGTTCCAATTTCCATGATTGATTCGTTTTTTGCATTAAATTTTCCGGACAATAATCTGAGTACATTCATGCATCACGCCGTTTCGAATAAGCTTGAGCCGAAGTCTTTTTCGAACATCTGCTCGTTTCAATCACCACCAGAAGAGTGGGCGGAATTCGCAGAGAACAGCGTAGAATTTCACATCATCATCATCACACGCAACCTTTAGCTTAGTTAGGCAGGGAGGTTGTAGGGTGTTTTACTGTCTCGGTGAGAAGTTGTGTTAACGCTTAGAGCGTGTAAGTCGCTGCCGGTTATATCAAAGGGCCTTCTGCGTTGTTCGGCCTGACTGCGAATGCCAGGTAATAGCGGGCGGAGGCACCGTGACGACAGTCGGGCTGTCACTGCATCCGCCCAATCAGCAGGTCGCGTGCTGCGTATGAAGGCGGAGCCTAAAAAGTCACCGCGTCCCCGCCTTTTCTCTCGCAACCACTAGCCGCGCCCCTCTTTTCAGGCGGAGGCCTATACTGTACCGTACAGTATTGTACTGTGCGCGGCACAGCAGCTCTCAAAAGTGCGGCTGAGCCACTGTATTTTCGAAACGGAAATACTGTACAGGGAGTCGTGAACCGTTTCCCTTGCTCATTTCAGCAATTATTTTTCGCGACTGGGACATGATGGAAGTAGCAGCTGTCCTGGGATGCATTTTTATACGGAAATACCACTTGGACAGATTCCGGTGTTGGAAAAACATAGAATGCCTGCTGATTGTGGTAGTGTGTGATCTACACTTGACTATTTGCGTTTGGCATGTCAAAAAAAAACAAGTCACTTCTGTAAGACTAACATTCCAGGCTTGTTTTCATATGCAGTGAAACCCCCAGAAGCAAATGTAATGGGTGCATCAAGACTGTCCCTAAGTTGAGTCTTGTTTTCCTATAGACTTACAATATATACTTTCTAATTGGTGTTTCAGGAAAGAAATATTCTTCAGAATTCAACTAAAAGAATTCTTTTCCACTTGAATTATATTCAGTGAATATATTTTCAACTGAATAAGAACATTTGGAGCATTGAATAGTGTATCTCTGTTGTGCATTGAAATTTTGGCATCTACAGAAAAAACATTCAAGTCACAAAGAGAGAAGGAAGTTCCTCTATGCAATAGGTTATTTTTTTTAATTAGCTGAATGGATGGGAAAATGATGGGAGAAATGACAAAGAATTATTCTTGCATACATTTTACGGTTTGAAATATCTGTTTCTTGCACTGAAGCCAAATAAGTCAATTTTTGTGAAATGCATTGACAACTTTATCATGCAATGTCCACATGTTGAGTCAGTGTCAGTATGTTGGGCCTTTTTTATGCCCTTTTTATTGAAAAAAAATGTCCCTATGGCAAATTGTCCTCATGTTGAGCTGTCTGCATGTGGGGCTCTCACTGTATTATTTTGTTCATCAATTTGGATATATGGTCTCCAAGTTAAAGAACTAAACTCAAAAACCACACATTTTAGGAATGCTTTTAGAATAATAAATTATAAAAATCAATGAGCAAGACTGCTCTGAAAAAATGGCAATTAAAATGACCTAGGTATTGTTGTCTATAGAATCTTACAACTCCACCTTTTCTAAAAATCAATATAAATATTGAATGAGTTTACCATGCAGAACTTGGCCGCAAGATGTGGACATTATTCCTTCTTGTGGACATTAACTGTCTGCATGTTGGATCACATTTTCCCACAGACCTGAATGCGAACATTTTCAATTAATTCTCCAGTTTGCCAAAACTGGGAAATGTTCACTCACTTTCAAGAAACAGTAATAAGTGACTGCACAGAATTAAGTAACATATAACCTGTCCTTTTGGTATAAAAAATTGCCCAAAAGATGAAAATCATCATGTCTTGATATTGCAGTGGACAGTTAGTGGAAAAAACTCTTGAAAGGGTTTAGCATGATATTAGCCTTTTTGGCATTTATCCATCAGAGCATTTTTATGATATATTTATTTAGGGTTCTTGCAACCACAAAGTGCTCAATTTAGTCAAGAGATATCAGCATTTGAACAATACAATGTTTTCAAATTTCCTGGGGAAGTTGACAAAGCGTGCATATATTAAAGAACTTTTCCAGATTTTTAAGTTAAAGTATCCCAATCCTCTGCATATATGATGGCATCTGCAGCTGGAGCCTTACAGACGTTCCTAATGGTTTTAGTTAAATTTACTGACCCTTTAAATTCATGTTTGTAATCCCATTGGTGGATTTTAATTTGGGAAATATACAGTTGTAAAGAGTGAAGTTTCTCCCAATATTTGCAATTTTAACATCAAACAACTTTTGGTGTTTTTTTATTTTTCTCAGTTTCAGGTTTGTTTCTCAAGTACATTATGGTTTGTTATTCCTACATAATGGTTGCT